GACCTGGCCTGAGATTTATGGATTTAAGATTTTTTTAATCACGCTTAGGCCTATGTGTTCTATTATGCCTATGTATAACGTGTACTGATGCATATTTACATGTTTAGAAGTATTCATTTTGAGTGATCCCAAGAAAGAATTTGTATTGGCCCAAGAATAAGCTTTACAATTTTAATACCGTGTACAAAGGGGGGGGGGAGCCGCCGCTCCCACGGCTTCCCCCTGGATACGTCCCTGGCTGGGGCCGACATTGCCACAGCTGCCCTACATTTAGGTGTAAGGGTGGCGATAGTTTATTTTTGATTTGCGCATCCCCATAATTGATTCTTTGCGCTGCAAGTTTTATTTTAATCATATGCCTTTTAGCACTATCACCAGGCGCATATGATATTGAATCGTAATCTCGGATGTGTGTGCGTAAATGGATTTATTCTTGCTAAACCGGTTTATTATTGTGTTCTTAACGTGGCCAAAGTGTCAAAGGTTCTGCCTTTGATCCAGAGCCTTGCCTGACCCTGTAGAGATCGTTTAAAAATATTAATTATATTTTGAAGAGCAGCATCGTCTGCTGGGGCTTCAAGATTGTGGGCCTGCAAATAGTCTGTAAATTATAGGTAATGGCCGCTACATTCTTCGTGGTCGGTTTTTCGCCACTGTAATGTTTTGGGAGAAAGTCTGTTTAGTAGAGCAGTTAATGCCATGAGGTGTGCATTTTTACCAAAGCATGAAACTTGGCACAAAGTTTCTTCAATATGTATATAGAATCAAAATATCGGGGGGTGCCAAGCCTCCAATGTCCGCTATGGCGGCCATCTTGTTTTCAAAATGGCCGCCATAAAAACAAAAAGTGCTCATATCTTGGCAACTACAAACTGTAGAGACTTGATTTTGGTCTCAAATTGTTCACAACCTACATATTTTTATTTGCTCTAATGGAAAAGTTCGTCCAAAAATGACCGGAAATGACATTCCTATCAGTTTGACCTTTGACCTCATATTTCTATATCTCAATTCATTTTGGTGCCATTTTGTTCAGAAGAAATACATTTATATTTATTGTAATGGAAAATTTTCTTGGAAAATCACAGGAAATGCAATTTATGACCTTTGGCACTTATACGTTGTGACTTGGAATTATGTGATATTATGTCGTTTATATGTTATAACGTACCTAATAAAAATTTTTGTTCCCACAAAATAAATGTTTCTATTTCCTTAAACACTTAATGCAAAAAATACCAGAAATGACATTCCAGACTTTTGACCTTTGACCTGATATTTTTATATCTCAATAAATACTGGCTGTAAAAATTTAATTTTGGTACAATATTGTTCAGAACATATGTGGTTGAAAACGAAAGGTCCACTGATTAATCTCAGATAAGAAAGTATAATACATACTCCAAGTATTGAAATACACGCCATCGTGTTGGGATTCAATATTTCGACATTAATTATGTCATCTGACATAATTAATGTCGAAATATTGAATCCCAACACGATGGCGTGTATTTCAATACTTGGAGTATGTATTATACTTTCTTATATTTGGTTGACGTTTTAAGTATCTTTATTACAGTTTTAAATTTTTAAGAAAATACCTGATATAAAATTGCTTTTTTGTTTCCGAATTTGATGGTAAATTTCTCCATAACTACAGTAATAGAGATGTTATAGTCAACTAACATATGAGACAAAATGAGAACAATATCATACCCCCATTACCAATTAGTTCTCACAATCCGCGTCACATCCACACATTGTTGTACAGGATAATTCAGCTTTAACGCATCTGCATCTTCCCGAAGAACAGTTAACTTTACATCCACATTTTAGCAGCTCTTCACATGCCTTCGACACTTCTGGAAGATCAGACCAGTGAGGAACAAATCCAATGCCATCAACTTTCCTCTTCCATTCCCATTCTTGTGGATCTCTAGCTTCTGCACACTTGTTTAGAGACGTTCTCCATTTAATAGCCTGCAGAGTTGATCTTATAATATGTTGCTTCAGTGCAGCCGATGTTGGAGGCAAGTTCTCGATAAGTCGATTGCTTCTGGTAAATAAGATTTGTCTGGCCTCATTAACTCAGATTGCGTTACAGGTTTGACTGTATGTGGCAACAACAAACCTCTCAATTATAAGGTTGTCATCATCTGAAATTTCTTTTGGACTTTTGATATTTGATAGTTGGTTAAATAACTCTGAAATATCGGGCATACTTGTCCATGTGTTGTAAAAGATGTCTGCTCCTGTAAATGAATGGAAAAAAAGCAGGCCAATACATCTCTGTGCACCCAGAGTGCTAACTCGTGGATTGGGATAATTTTCAGTGATTTTCCAACTCCATATTCTATATAGAGCTCATCTACACCGATTAGTTTGTCAAAAAGTGATGTAGCAATATCTAAAACATCAGAGTATAATTTTTTCAACTCAGACAGGAGGACAAAAGGAGCAATTCATCAATGGCTTGAAGCTTGTCGTCTATGAAATTCATTACCTCTGCAAAAGCTATGTCTTCTAAATCCAATTGACTCTCTTGATTGTCACCTGATTTCTGTTTTGTGTACACAAAAACAATTGATATTTATTTCTGAAAGATAACATACATTGGTCACGGTAACATGCATCACGTGCAAACATTGTACCCTCGGAAAGTTTTGCAAGCAACTTGGTATCGCCCATTTGATTTGCAGCTTTTCTAACATTCATATCCCTACCGTCCGTCTGTACTAAGCAGTACATCTTTTGGATTCACATTTTCATTGATGCTTTCTGACTTCAAGAATCTTTCTTTATCACAAAAGAAACATATTGATGATCTCAATGGTGCTTCTGTGTTTACAGTGCTCCGTGTTCTTTTAAACAGTGTGTTACTGTTCTGGTTTTCAACTTTCTTCCTTTTTATCAATGCCCTCTGTAATCTCGTTAAAGATAATTCAAGAATGCAATTTTTATGCCATCTAACCCGATTCGCGCTTAGGTTTTTGGCAATATCAGGTGCACCACCCTCTAACGCAGTCACACACACTTTGAATTTATTAGGTAGTGGCAAGTCATCTATATATTTTCTTTGTTTGCTTTCAAAATTAGAATATACATCCTTATTGTCATCTTTAAATAAATATAAACCATCAGTTCCATTTTTCTGGCACAATACATTTGCTCCAATCCATAATGCCACTATGATCAATCAATCAATCCTATTAAAAAGCAACATACATAAACTGAATTTAGAACATCACAAAACACAAATTCTCTTACAAGATATAAAGTCATATTATAATACAAAAAAAAACCAACAGATTTCTCTTGTTTTAATTTACAGCCTAACTGATAATAAACAGTGTACATCATGCCTATCCTTCTACCAGACCTAGGCCTACTGCCTAAGGCAAACCATGTGGTCATTGCCCTCAAGAGCTGAGAAAATGTTTCATTACAATAAATATAAATGTATTTCCTCTGAACAAAATGACACCAAAATCAAATCAAAATGACCAGTAGTTATTGAGATATATAAATATGAGGTCAAAGGTCAAACTGACAGAAACATCATTTCCGATTATTTTTGGACGAAATCTTTCATTAGAGCAAATAGAAATATGTAGGTTGTGAACAATTTGAGACCAAAATCAAGTCTCTACAGTTTGTAGTTGCCAAGATATGAGCACCTTGTGTTTTATAGCCGCCATTTTGAAAACAAGATGGCGGCCATACCGGACATTGGACGCTTGGCACCCCCGATATTTTGATTCTATATACATATTGAAGAAACTTTGTGCCAAGTTTCATGCTTTGGTAATAAAACAACTTTACTATTTTTGGTGGCATTAACTGCTCTACTAGTTGCCTTAAGGGCTGAATGTTAGCTTGTGCGTTGTCAACCATAGTGCCTAAATTTAAAAAGGTAAACAAATATGTGACTTATATACGTTGGAACTGCTTTAATACAAGACTACACAATCATACGCACTTTCGTACCTGGTTTTGTTTTTTTGAGTTCAACTTATACCCTTCCCCAACTGTTCAACAAGGATATTTGTTCTATGTTCGAGTGTTTTAAAAATAAAAAGCGATGTTCAGCGAAGTTCTTTAATTTACAAAGTGATGCCCAATGAAGTTCCTTGAAGTACAAAGTGATCTGGTCTTGATAAAAAAAAAATAGGTCAAAGCAAATCAAATCAAATCAGATTCGAAAGGAAAAAAAAACTGGTGTTGAAAATCGATGTACACTAAATAAGGAATGGTGTTCGCAATGCACTGAAGCGTTCAATCCAATCCAACTGCAAAACAAATGTTCGGCATCAAGAAACAGCGGTTCAAACAAACGAGTCGTCACATCCAAGTTGAAGGAGTTATCCAATGTCACAAGAGTTTTCTGGTTCTGAATTTGTTTTTAAATGTGGTCACTTTAGCTGCATTGTCTGCATATAAAATATTCTCTATACAGTTAATACTTCATTTCATTTTCCTTGAATGGTATGCAGCTTCTGATTTAATTTCTTCCTTCCGCGTTTTTGGCTGTAAAGCGTATTATGTGGACCTTAGTTAAGGTCTTGACAAATGTAGCAGTATATACAGTAGTAGAAATGTAGTTGTCTTGGCTTCAGCTTTAAACTTCGGGTCTTCCACCATGTAATATTATAATCTTCCTCCATGCAATGTTATAGTTGTCCACTATGGAGTTTGTGTTTTTCTTCTCTCATTCGCTCACTATCAAACTTTGCTGTGGAGGTACTTGTACTGTGCTTACTCGGCGAGACAAACTGTTTCTGTTTAAAACTCTACTTTTCTCTATACTACAACACTACAAACTGTATGTACAGTATTTACAAGGAAGGCTGTTTGACCTGGTGTTGCCTTCAAGGTATCAGAAGGAAGTCTAGTACAGTAGTATAACTAATAATTTACTTTTGATACCAAGTTGGGTGTGGTGGACTTTCTCTGTTTGAAAGATATCACCTTATCCTAATCATTTGACCATTACATCCTTTTGGGGAGTTTCTATTGGTTAGATGCTATATTGTATAACAACTTAGGGGGTAAAAGTGAACTTATATTTAGTGACAAGCTGCCTCTCAATCAAGCTTATTTTATAAATCAAATGTAAGGAGTTGACCACTTGGGTTTCTGTCATGAATTGGCTATTGTCCTGTCAAAGACTTCATATACAATAATTCGTCGCTCACATCACGAACTAACACAATTAAATTCAATTGTGTTAGTTCGTGAAATCAAAAAAGCGCGTCAAAATACGCGCTACTGTCGTTAAGGACTTTTTGTGTGGTAAAGAATACAAAATTGCTTGACAACCAATACGCGCTCGTTTTGACGCGCTACTGTGATTTCACGAACTAACACAATCTACTTTGATTGTGTTAGTTCGTGATGTGAGCGACGAATTAAGGAGACATTTAACAGATGCCCACTGGGTTAGTGAGGTAATGGGTTAGTGAGGTAAAAGTTCAGTCCAATGGTATAATTGATTTGGCCTATATTTGTAAGTTATCTTAATACTATATAACAGTATATAATGTTCACTGATCAAGGGTTTCTGTGTATATATGCCCTCAGCAACTTGAGGTATCTTCAACTGGCTTTATGGGTTACCATGGAGAAAATGATGAGAAAAGCACAATATTGGTCATTTTGGGGTTTTGTCACTGATATTTCTTGAGATAAGACATAGCCATTTTTTGATATTTTTTTTACAAAAAACCAAATATGCAAGTTCGCTTATGGCTACACAGATATTATAGCAGCTATATTTGGTAGTTGATATTCGTGTATATGAAGATGATTTATATCTGCTTTATATCAGCTGTATATATACAAATAACTCTGTTGCTATGCTGATATAGTAGCTATATTTGATAGTTGATATTCGTGTATTATGAAAATGATTTATATCTGCTATATATCAGCTGTATTAATATATACAAATAACTCTGTTGCTATGCTGATATACAGTAGCAGCTATATTTGATAGTTGATATTTGGGTTTGATGAAGATGCTTTATATCTGCTATATATCAGCTGTATAAACAGTGGTGAACCATAGGGTAAATTGTGGGGTATGCTAGGTATTGGCATATCGAGGATGTGCAAGGGGCGTACACCCCTGAAAAAAAATACTCACCCGCATTCCCCAGTCGCGCCCGTCCGCCCACAAATCATGCTCAAGTAGTTAAAAATCACCTCATATCTCCTTATTTTGCGAGTTATCCCCTCACCTAATATATAATATATGCAATTTAGTATGTTGCTACACTGACATAGCAGCTATATTTGATAGTTGATATTTAGGTATTGTGAAGATGCTTTATATCTACTAAATATCAACTGTATACAAATATATGCAATTTAATGCTAGGTTGAGTTTTTTGAGCTATAACTAATGTAATGATATACCTCTGCTTTTTTATATGTTTAAATTGCCAAATCATTATTATGCTAGTCAATTAAAACTATTAAGCTGCTTGCCAATACTCTTGTTATGCCACTGTTTGATTATTGTAGCATTATTTGGTCAAACTGTAATGGTGTTAAATCTAACTCTATACAAGTTCTTCAGAATATGCCTGCTTGAGTGGTGTTACATGCCAACATTATGACTCCAGTAAAGGTTTTGATGGATACAATGGATTGTATTAAACATATTTTAATTATGACATTTAAATCCCTAAAATGTATAACTCCTGAATACATTTCTTCTAAATTTAAATTTACTAATGCTGTCCATTCCAAAAATACACAAAATCAATTTTCAAATATTCTAATCATCCCAATCTGGAACAACATGCAAGGAAAAAGAACTTACCTTTACAGGGCATGTAAATTATGGAATGAGCTCCCATTAGATATCTGCTGCAAATTTGACACCCTTACTTTAAGAACATTAAAGAATTGTATTTAGTTACCTCCTTTCTTGATTTTTATATATTTATTTGTTATTTATTTTATGTTGTGTCTGGACCTCTTGGGAGACCAGTACTTATGTATTGAAAGAGTACTTCCAGAATAAAGAAATATTTGATTTGATTTGAATTGATTCATTGTAAAAGAGCTTTTAAGTATATTAAACCATGTTAAATGTATAATATTTAATGTTTTATCTGTAAACTGATGTTTGTAACGTAAGATTCATATTGTAGAGTGTTTATATTTGTGATATTTTTTCTTAAATATTTCATGAAAATAAATTACAATGATTGAGTATTTTCTAAACTTCATATTATTGTATTTATCAAAAAAAGCATTTATGGGGCAAGTTATCTTGTTCAATCAACATTTCTAATTTTATAATTATCAATTCAAATTTGAAAATTTGTTTCTAATTGTAATTTACAATCTGTGTTTGCATTTAAAATTTGTGCTATGATTGTTTTTATGTAGGTCTAATATAAGTGTTTTCTAGGTATTTTTTGTACTTCTACTCATTTTGTGGTGAGGCCTCTTATAAAAATTTAACATTTTATTAGCAAGATCATAATACTTATGTTAACCAAACCCAACAGCAATAAAATATATTTTTTGCTACATCAAGCATGATTTGTTGTTTTATTAAAGCCATTATTACAGCATTTAATGAAAACCTTGTCCAATTTTTGACAAGGGATTTTTTTTCTACATTAATAGCCAGAAAAAATGAACTACATTAGTAAATCTTCAGATACCAGTTATTTAACTGCAAATGCATTTTTGAAATTAAATGCCTTCCAGCAGCTCACGATAAATGTATTGAGTAAAGCTTCTAAATGCGTAAAGGAACTTGAAAATTCAATTGAACATTTTTGCTTTTAAACAAACTCACTCCTTGGATTGGTCCAAAAATAAGACAGGAGTAAAGATTCTGATTTGTAAGCGGTGCAAATTAATTAAAAATAGTACTTGTTTGACTTGGTGAAATTTTTGTTCTCAACTAGTCTGAAAAAAGTAAATGCCCTGGGAATTTATTGTTGAGAAGGGTTTTTAAGGGGGGGAAATTTTTGTTCTCAACTATTCTGAAAAAATTAAATGCCCTGGGAATATATTGTTGAGAAGGGTTTTTATGGGGGACGTTCAAGCTAGGGAGGTTTTTTTGGTGTAAAATGGATACATACAGTATGTACTGTACACAAACACTCCTTAATTTCAATGTAAATGTGATAAGAACAACACAACACATAATTACCCTCAAAATGGGTTATTGCATGATCATAAAGACTTGCGGATCTCAACGAGGTTACACAAAATGTAATTTTACTGGAAGGGAGAATAATGTTGCTTCCACTATTTTTGTTTATAGTCATTCAGGTGGGGCATTTATTGGGAGAGAGGTGTTTATTCCAAATGAGTGTCTGGAGGATGCATTTATTTGACTACAGTACACAATTTCTATGCCTAAAACTATTTGTATTATTTTAAACCAAGGATTGAAAATAATTATCTACACTCTGATGAAATTCATTCATTCAGTTTGCACCATGTTTCCCTGTTTACAAGATTAAATACTTTTGCATGTCAACATACACATATAACCTTTCAAGTATTTTAATCGTTCTAATTTAAATGTTCTAATGTTAGATACGTAAATCTGGATTGGGCATACCATTGTACCGAAATACAATAAATTAAATTACTGTTTTCCACCAAATAACTTGCATGCACTATTTTAAACCTAAATACTGTATGTAGGGCCTATACCCTGAGTATTCAACTTTTTTAAGCTGGTGGTCAGTTTGTCTGTTGAGACAGTGGTGGGCTGACATAATTGTGTATGTACTTTATAATGTAGCCTTTGTTTTTCACCATTAATTGCTTGTGTCCTTGAGTAAGGCACTTTATCTGCATTGCTTCTCTCTACCCAGCAAGGAGTATAAATGGGTACCTGTTGGTGAGGTTTACTGCTCCTGTGCCAATTACCAGCAGCAACACTTAGCATGTGGAGCCAATGACCAGGGAAAAGAACTGCGCTTTACAACCGCAAGGAAGAGGTGCATTATAAATGCCCATATACCAGTATCAGTTTACCATGATAGGCCTTGTTTTGTAAATATGAGGGAATTCTGTAGCATATAAGGGTGAAGGGCTGGGGATAACAAAATCCTACAACCCAGGTTCTCCTACCCTACCACTAGAAATAGTCCAAGCACAAAAAAAGCTACTCAAGTACCAAGTAGTTAAAGACAACTTCCCCAAGGAGTAGTCCGACATGCACAAAATGGCCCCACGTTTACCTCAGTAATAAAATTTTGAAAACAAACATCTCTAGATGGCACCCTCAGACTAAAAAAATGTTTTTAACACGGTGTTACCCAACTGGATGCAGTGAAGCCAACTATTGTTAAAAATGACAGATTGTGTTTCTCAGAAAATCGACTGGTATGGAAAAATTATTTTTTTTAGCAATGTTGCGCAGGCTGGATAGAAATTTTTGGCAAGTCGGATCGAATACCGAGGGCCTATACTAAGGGTGGCGCCAGGATTTGCCCAACGGGAGTGGGTGCCTAGGTCCCCAATTAGAGTAAAGTGGGCGTGGTTGGGCATCGCTTAAAATCTTTCGTAAGTGGTGTATAGTGTCGTTTGCTGGGCCCTTTCTGTGGATTGGTATGATTATTCCTATTTTTCTAAAAATTTGGTATGTATCCTCAAATGAAAATATTATACAGTATAATTTAAAAAGTAAAAGTGCTGTATTCTACAGAACAGATATCTGTGCCAGAACAATATATGTCATTTAAGAGCAACTAGGTATTTTATGAAACAAAGCCAAATATCTCAATGAAATTTCTCTTTTAATCAGTCTAAAACACTTAAAATACACAAAAGTGAGCACCAAATTGGGGAAAGCAAAATTCTACATAGGAGACATTACACCCATCAGAGCTTTATCAAAATTACTTCATTGGAGAAAAAAATAGAAAACAGCATTGAAATTAATGCACTTTCTAAAACAGTATATTAAAAGAGCTAGAAATATACTAATACTGGAATCAAGATTCTGAAAGTCAGCTTCAGGCCAATATTTCTAATGCTTAACATTTTTGCCCGACATGGAATGGTTTTGTACCCTCAACAATAAGTAAATTTATATAATTTAAAAAACATTAAAGAGAAAATCATTTAGTAAATGGCTTAGAAATTAATCAACATTCTATAATTATGAACAGCATGAAATCTGCAATTCCTAATAATAGAAGAATGATTGATGTAATTGTTAATCATAGCACAAAAACATGCAAAATAAAATGGAACTTTAGGAGATTTTTCACTATTTAAACCACCCTGAAACCATTATTGTAATACTAATTATAACATTAAGCCAATTTCTTTAAATGAGGGAACTTAGATTCAAGGTTTTAACAACATTGGTTACACATTCTTTGGTGCAAAACTTCATTACATTAGAATACTAATAGAATGAAATAATTCTTTAATGCTAGGTAAAATATAACATAAAATCACAAGACTTGTATAAAAGTTATAGAAAACATAATAAATTTTGAAGACAAAAGAAATTCCTCTTCATAAAACATTATTTACATTTTAAGACTTGGTACTCCCACTTGGCTACCAACAGGTTATAGAGCTCACTTTGCTAGCCAGTGGCTAATAAAAACATGCAAGACTCGGTCAATCTTGGGGCGTCATATACACCATTTAATACACTTTTAAAATCTAGTTTTAACCGCTGACAACATTGACTGTTCTAGAGGAAGTATAACTTGTCTGCTAGTGAAAGATGAGGTTCGCGTTGTATGTTTTGACCAACGAGGTACGCAAGTTTGTGTGCATACTGGCAAGGTGCTGGAACACGAACGGTTCCGGGCCAGTTGTAGTACAAATGAGTTAACTTGTAAGCCAGTCTAAACATAAGAGCAGAGAACAATTATAAGATAATAGTAAATTAATCAAATTCATTTAATAAAGATGAATTATAGCTTTACTGATTGTTATATATTTATATTAGATGCTGTCACAACAGCTATGTCACTATGCTTCTCTTAGCATCACATCCATCTATTAAAATCTAATAAAAGGCATTACACATTCTCAGGTAGTGCATGTAATGATCAAGGAGCAACATTCAATTATAAAAAACCATCACTACACAACTAGGTCTACTAAACATTTTTTTTTTTCTGAATAAACTTGTACCTTTGCATGTGGTCCGGTTTCAATGTGGTCTTATCATGAACGACAACGTAATGAGTAGGTGTCAGTGTACCTTGACGCACATGTTGACTGACAAGGAAGAAGTCATACCAGCCTTTACGTGTGATTGAGTGATCAACAACTACACCTGGTGCTGGGTTAGTCATCTGCCCAGTATGCTGTCAACAAAATTTAATTATTTATATAAATTACACATTAAATAAATAGAAAAACAATTTAAAATAGCAATACAGTATATTTTTAACATCTATAATATAGTCTTAAACCAGTGGTGGATCCAGGAATTCAAAATAGAGGGGGCCCTGGGAGGTACTTTCACAGATGGAGGATCTATAGCACCTCAGCCCCACCACGGTTGGGGCTGAAGTAAGGACATCATGATTATGGCACCTCTAGATGGCCAGAAATTGCACTTTCAGACCTAAAATTTGAATATAATTTTCTTTATATCTTTATTTTTAAACCAGAGCCTTGCAGGCGTCAACGTTCCTATGCATGATACACGACTTTTAGAAGTATATATACGTGTATATATATATATATATATATATATATATATATATATAT